GCAGGCATCTGAGCGGGTGGGTGGTGGGTGGGGGTGGTTGTAGGAAAAGGGGAAGGGGGCGAGGTGGTTAAAGGGAAACCAACGCGAAAAGCAATGCTGACATCTTCATAGAAATGGAATACAGTTGTTCAGTTAGAGATACATTTGCGACATATGTAGACACACACACACCACACACACACACACACACACACATGCAGTGTGGAAGTGTATTAACAGCGCCAACATATCCATATATCCATCCTCGCTGACCTCTGCTCCTCTCCTTGCCCCACTTCGTCATCTTGGTTTGCCTGCTTGTGTTGGCTGTTTTGGTGGCAATTGGATATGCCACCGACGACGTCACAGATGCTTCACCGAAAGCAGCAAAAAAAAAAAAAAAAAAACAGAAGCAGCAGCAGCAGAAGAAGAAGAAAAATAAAAATCCTGTCCGCACAGGACTATTCAGCGAGGCACGCGATTTTTATGGCATATTCGTGAGCTTATTGTAATGAATTACTTTGGGTGAATCTTTTTCGGTTTTCCTCTGTTTTTTCTGTTGTACACCCAGCAGCAAGACCAGTTTCGCCAGCATCGGGTATCATAGACTAAGTGCATAGTTTGTAACACATTTCAAATATCCCTTATTTAATTTACATATATCAAAATGGGAGTCTTGCCAATGTATTTGATACGCCCAGTTCTCATTTGATAGAGTAGCACTTAGTAGAAATACTTCTTCACTTTTTATTGTAATTTCTTATGAAACTTTACTTTTGGATATCTATTTTTAATTAAATTTTTTTATTAATGTGTTCTCTTATTAAATTTTGCCATATTTCTCAATAATTTTATATTTCTTTATAATCATTTTATATATAATAATTTGTAATTGTTATATAAAATTGTATTCTACTCGAGAAGAATGCTTACTGCAGGGTATCTATGTAGTCGCTGTAGTCTTAATTTTCATAATACTATAAGTAAAAGACAAAAGTCATTCCCACAGGGTATCTGCCAGTCCTTGTGCGTTACTAAAAGGTTAAGTTCCTTTTACAGGGTGTCTGTAAACATTAGTAAACATTTTAACAGGGTATCTACCGTTCACTATACCCACTTCCACTTCTTAGTCACTATTACATTTTGACCAATCCCTCTTCGTGCTTATTATCACAGGGTATCCACCAATCAAGAACATTTCGAGCGGCAAAGAGCAAACATTTAAACAGGGTATGTGCCGCTCATCATATCCACTTGTTTCTGCTTCATTTATCTATCTGTTTTTGTCGACTTTTTTCTCTGTTTTTTATGTAATCCATGCCAATGGTCGTTAGTCGCTAGTCGTTAGTCTGAGGCTCGGTTATTGACTGCGGGTTTGTGCCACATACACATACTGATGTATGCAACATATGGATGGATGGATGGATATAACTACATACATATATGTGGCTGCCATGGGTGTAGCCAGTGTGGCATGTGCGACATTTGTGGCATTTGCTGTAATCATAATTTTATGTCCATCTAAGTAGCTTGACGCATGACGACTGTCAACGACACACTGCCTCTATCCTTCGCCTCCGCCTCCGCCTCCGCCTACCCAGCTCCCTCTCCCAGCTGCTCCTCCTCCTCCTCCTTCTTCTCCTGGAGAGAACTCGAGAATCTCAAATGTGCAGCTGAGTGTTCAAAGTTTTAGCATCGCTGTCCATCGACCGTCGACAGTCGACCGTCGACCGTTGACCGTCCACAGTCTTAGACGGTCAGTCAGTCGTTTGTGTCACTTGCACGCGGCTCTTTCGACATCTTCCTCTATCCTCTACACCCTATGCCCCCCCCCCCCCCCACTGCCTACCCTTAGCCAAACCCTCACTAAATAGCCACAACTCCACTGCATATGACGGGCCGCCCCAAAAATATCCATCGGTCAGCTGAACATGGTTTGGCCAACTTGATGTCAAGCGGCTTGAAAGCACTGCCTTGCCTCTGACATTTGTGGCGTGTGGCAACCACACAAATTTAGTGCGTCTTGAGTGCCAACTGTTGGGAGTCGCACACTTTCAACGCGACCAACCAACTAGCCAACCAAAGCCAACCAAAGCCAACCAAAGCCAGCAATTGCCATCAATTCTCCAAGTTTATTGAAATTTGAGCTTGAATCTTCTTTACCATTAAAACCGAAGAAGAAGAAAGCATTTCACATATAGCATCCAACATCGAAGTCAAGTCCAAGACATATCTGACTATCCATTTAGCCAGCCAACTATGTGAACTCGGTCAGTTTTGAAGGTAACTTGATGAAACATTAAATATATCCGTATTTTTACTGCAGGCGATATATATGTCAGAGACGGACGGATCAGATTACTATATCGTGTAGTAGATCGTTCGAAATGATGAGTTCCTTTATGAACAACTTTTCTGTTTACTTACAAATCCTAAACAAAGTCAGCATTTGACATTTCAGTGAGATTCGATAACTATCGATGTCGAGGAACGATCGAAATCTTTATTGTTTACGTAGAAATATTTGTAATAGGCAAATTTACTAATTAATAACTCCCCAGATAGGAACAATCAGTAAGAATTTTCAATATAAAACTAAAAACCTAGAAAAACGAATTATCAGTTATATATACATATATATATATATATATATATATGCATGTATATAACTATAACTGTACTTGTCTTTGGTTTTATTTTGTTCCCAAGTTTGCCAGCCACAGCTTTTGACATTGTGTTGGACAAGTTGTTTGCAAGCCCAAAACTTAAACTGTTTCCTTTCCCTTCCCCTCTTTAGAACAACACCACCCACAACAAGAAGAAGAAAGAGAAGAAGAAGAAGAACAACAACAAGCACAATAATTAGCTGTACATTAGCGGCATTGGCGATGAAACGTTTACGGTAATCCTTTCAGTAAGCAAAGTGAAAATGCAGTGACAGAATCCGAGCGAAGAGATCCCAAAAAGAAAACCAAAAACTCAAAACAAAAAACAAAAAAAACAACTACAACACGAACATAAGCAGATACAGTTAGAATAAACGTAATGTTATCTGCAAGCTGTCGAATATTAAATACCCTTATATAAATATTGATAAGCGCTCATTTGTAAATAAATGCTCAATATTTATATATATAACATATATGTATAATATTATGTGTGTGTAAATGTATCATATAAAACGACAAAATCAAAAGACTACACAGAAAGGGTATACAAAGCGGCAAATGAATGAGTGCAGTGCACATATCAGCAACAACAACAACAGCAAACTGACAAAGCAAGAGGAAGAGGAAGAACAACAAAGTGTAACAGCAGCAAGAGATGCATTCACACACACAGCAAGTCCAATCGTGTCGAGGGGGGGGGGCTGGCACAAACCTATAAAACCACGTAATCTGCAAGTGAGTTCTTTAATTATGCTGCAAGCGCAACACAAGCAGACGAAAGCAGCAGGTGGCTGCCCTGTGGGAGGGGGGAGGTGAAGGGGGCGTGACCACTGTGAGGAACGCCTGCAAAATGCGAAGCGAAAGCCGCTTACAGAACCACAAAATGCTACGGACATATTTTGCCGCAAGAAAAAGCGAGAGAGAGAGAGAGATAGAGCGAGAGGCGGACTGGCAACGAGACATTCCCGTGGCCGCCATTTTGAAGTTTTTTTTCTTTTTTCTTTTTTTTTGGTGCTGCGGCTTTTTGGGGTCGTGTGCCAAAAGGATTACAATGGAGAGAAATGCCGCGACAAGCTTGCAGATGAGAAGCCCAAAACAACAACAACAAACAAACAAACAAGCCAGAGCAAAGGTGATTGAGGAGGGGGTGGGGGGGGGGGGGGGAGCTGAAGTGACTGCAGCTTTTGCCTTTGCTTTCGGTTTCGGTTCCGCTGCCAATGCGAAACCATTTGCGGATTTAATTGCCGTTAACATTCGAGTCTACTCGCCTTACATTGTCATTGCAGCTGCTTCTTCTCTCTATATATGCCCCTTAATGAGTGCGAAGAGGGCATCACCAATCAGCAGTAGCATTCCAGCATGAAAACTGATGCACGAAAGATGCACACAAATCGTTGTTATTTAATGCTCAGCGAAAGACTTGAAGTGCTTACAGGTCAACTGCTAGTCGGGCATTAACTGTTAAGTAAGCACTCGGCTCCCCTTCCCCCTCTCACACTCTTTCTCTCCTACGCTTTTCGCTCGTCGTTGTTGTTGTTGTGGTTCTTGTTGTTTCTGTTCGCAACGTGAGCATCAAACGGCAGACGCAGATTAGAGACCAGAGCGACAACATGCACCTAACCTACAAAAGCAGGCTCATCTTCTGCCCCCCCTTCCCTCGTTCTCCTCTTCGACGACACTAACTACTTTCTTCACCTCTCTCTCTCTCTCTCTCTCTATCTGTCTTTTAATTCCTGTCTTTGTGTTTGTGTTGTTGTTTTTAGAACCTTGCCTTAGTTTTGTGGTCAGCTAAGAGAATTATAACAGCGTAATTTGTATGTGTGTGTGTGTGTGTTTGCATGTCAGAGTTTCAGCTGATACCGCCAAACAGATTTAGACAGCGGTTTTTGTGAGCGACACACACAACACACACATACAAATTACTTTAAGTACTTGGCATTATTGAAATATGCTTTTATGCGCTAAAGCGCCGCTTCAAAAATTAAACTCACATGAAAATAACATTGAAATTTGTAAACAATTTTTGTTTTTTTTTTTAAATTATATTATTTATTTAAATTTCAGTAATATATTAATATAATAATACATTGTAAGCGACCACTGAGCCAGTTCTTAGTTTGCTCATATCGATAATATTTGTGAACAAGTCTTAATACGACTTGGAAAGCAAAGTTCATACCGGAACTAGTTCGCTTTTTTTTTCAAATAGTATTTTAGGGGTTACGAGTACATGGTTTAATATGCAAAAGTAAGCTATAATAAATGTATGTTTTATTTTAGGATTAACTTAGCTTAAGTGCCGAGTAACTTAACAATCTTAAGTAATGGAATAATATTGAATTGATTTTAAACTCACCCATTTGTATCGCCGGGTGAAATGGGTTTCAATTGCTGCTCCACTGTGCGAAGATTATCGCTGATTATATAATCTATAAAAGGAAACGAAAATAAAAATCGTAAATCAATTGATAACATCAAATTGAATAAAACTACTGCAAAAACAACTTAAAAATGAAGCTGATCTAAAATGTGCACAGAGCTTTCAAGCGCACAGGCAGTTAACACTCTGTTAACAGTTTGTTAACAGTCAGCCAGCAGTTAAAAGCTGCAAACATCGCAAAAGCTCAACGGCGCGCATTGGGAAATGCCAATTGCATAGTGGGAAGTTCTTTTCTTGGGACATGTGTGCGTGGGCAATAAAAGCTTACCCTTCTGCAGCTGGCTGGTTGGTATAAATTCCTCATGTTTTTGGTCCCCCTTTTCCTCGTATTTGAGCTTATAGTCGGAGTGCTTGCGCAAGGACATCAGTAGCGATTGGGTGCGCGGCGGTATCTCGGGCGGCGCTGGCTCTGGCGGCGGCTCTGATTCACCGCCGCTGCTGCAGCCGTCACCAAACTCTGTCAAATCTTGTTCGGCAGTTTTTCCCGTTATTGTTGCTGCTGCTGCTGCTAGCAGCTGTTGGGATTTGTCGCTGCGATTGACGGAGAGGGCGGAGGTGCCGGAGGAGGAGCTGGTCATGCCGCTCAGCCGATTTAAAGTGTGACGCGTTGCGCTGCGCTGACTGCGCTGGCTGCTCGACGCTGTCGCTGTCGACGTCGACGTCGCTGCTGGTGCTGCTGCTGCTGCTGATGCTGCTGCATCCTGTTGCTGCACTTCCTCATTGGAATATTTGGCATTGAGAAAGGGATTTGTACTGCGCGCTCCAGTTCCATTTACTGTTCCAGTTCCCGTTGCAGTAAGCGTGCTGCTGCTGCTGCTGCTCATGTTGCCCGGATTGGGGGGCTGGGGAAAAAGTCCCAGATTTGCATTCGATTGATATTTAACGGTGCTCGCTGATACCGTTGGCAATTTTATTGACGACTGTGACGTCTCAGCTGCTGCTGCTGCTGCTGCTGCTGCGGTTCTGGAATGCGGCTGTGCGTAAGTCACCTCCATCATTTGGCCGGCGTCGGCGCTGCGACGAGCGCTTCTCTGCCGCAAATATTCCGGTTCGCAATCTGAGTTATAATGCTCCATACCTAAGCAGAGAGAAAGAGAGAGAGAGAGAGAGAGAGAGAGAATGAGCATAAATATATTATTCTTATCGTTTTTTTAATTGAATATACGCAAATATATATAATAATATATAAAAATACTTCAGTTTTGCATTTAACAATTGTCTTTTTGTATTTTTTTTTTGTGGAATGGTCCCGTTAGGCTTGAGTGTAAATACACATGCCATTTCACTTTCCCATTAACAATTGAATATGTGCAATGTTGAAACCCCGTTATGTATTTACAGTTGCGGTCAAAATAATAGAACTGTTGACTAATAAAAATGTTACTAATTTAATGGCCATCAAATCGAGACCTTTTCAAAATCATCAAAATGAAGAACAATTCAATTCCGCACTACACCAAATTTTTGGAACGTTTTAAAATACTATTAATTGAATAGCTGAAATGTTAATGTTTGTTTATCTTTAGTATTGATTGCTCGTGCTTAATCAAATTTTCATTAATTTTTTTTTAAACTATATTTAATAGTTTCCAGGAGATATGTGTGTATGTAATACAATTATTTTGACCGCAGCTGTACGCACTTAACAGTTATCCTTCGTTCGTAACATTTCGCGATGCCATTGTGAGTCGACGTTGCCGTTAACGTGTGAGTGTCATAATTACCGTTGAATAAATAAAACAGCTGATCGGCTTGTTTCCGTTTGTCTTGTGTGAAATGAATTAAAATAAACGGTAATTAATATATGAAACAGAAACCAACCAATAAATAATAAATAAAATGCAAAATTTAAACGGATTTCATTTGATTTATATCTTGCTATCAGTCTAACATTTTAGTTAACTGTAAAAAGTGTATTTAATTATAAATGGTTTTTTGTTTTTGTTTTTTTTAGCATAATCGATATGAAATTCGATAAATCATCGAAATCATAAATCATCATGTCCAAACACCAGGGCCACTACAGGGTATAACAAAAGCTTTTCAATACTTTTTTTTTGTTTGTTTGTTTGTTTGCAATTGCAACTTGCAAGGCTTTGCCAGTGTTTAAAAATTGCGCAATTTGCAATTGGCAATAAAAAAGCGCATTTAATTCGCATATCAAAAATGAACGAACGAATGGATGGATGAATGGATGAGTGAATGAATAAATGAATGAATGAAGGCAATTGGACGCTGCTGCTGCTGCTGCTGCTGCTACTGCTGCTGTTGATAAAGATTGAGTAATTGAAGCTGAGGCTCCAATTCAATTACGAAGCGCAGCTGTATTTGTTATCGAGGGCTGCTGAATCTTGGAAGGGAGGGGGGTTGGGTGGCGGATGGGTGGTTGGTGGGCGGGGTGCTTTGTAGTCATCGCCTAATCGAAGCATAAAACGCAAATCGCCGTCTGCTGTGCGATTTTTATGTTCGCATTGCACAGCATATTGTTGTCTCTTTCGCACGCAGTGCGTGTGTTTGTTGTTTGTTGTGTTTTATTGTCTGTTAATATTTAATGCAATTTACGATTCATTTTTTACAACCTCATAACACTCTCTGGGTAGGCAACCAATTCTGGCTGCACGACCAAGCAAGAGGACCAGCCAGGGGGGGGGGGGGGGATGCTGGGACTTGCCTGTAAATCTGTTTGAGAACGAACCTGGTCTGGGCTTATTGAAGGAGTCTCGCAAAAAACTAACAAATGCTCAGGCACGAAGCTTTTAATAGATTGTCCATTGAGTTGTTCCAATTTGTGTATATTGTAAATGCTTATGCAAATGTTTGCATATATCTCGAGGATTGTGGGTATTCCCAAGCAGGAGAAAGAAAAAAAATAAAAATAAAACACAAATCAGCAAAAGGTTGAAGCGGAAACAACAATCAACAATTGGCATTTGATTGCAACAAAAATACATTTGCAAAGCCACATTTAACATTGTAATTTTTGAGTGTGTTGCAAGTGTTGCATGTCTATTGCTTATTGTTATTCAGCTTATAAATAGTCTGCATCAATTTCATCTTTTATATTTGTAGTATTTTTCTTTTTTTCTCACATTGAGTAGGAAAATGCATGTAAATTTCCCATGGATAAATGACGATGTTGCCTGAGTTGAGGATTTGTTGCACAAACCTATTGGCTGTAAACACGGGTTTATTGCGAACTTGTCGTTGCAGGCAGGCCTTAAACTGACCACCAAATGGAAAGCAGTTAAAACACACATTGATTGAGCCCGGCCAAATGTCAGGTGGCTTTCATGTTGCAATCAAATGAGTCCAATGGGTCCAAGGATGCCACAAGAGCCTCACAAAATCCATCAATGCAAGCGAAACCAAGCCAAATCCAAATCCAAATCCAAATCCAATCGCGACTCGTCACGTGGACCAACATCGTCGAACTCGAATCGCATCGAATCGATTTGAGTTGAATCCAATCAGACAGTCAAAGTTCAATCGACAACAAAAACAAAGCAAGTCAACCAGGAGTCAACCAGAAGGGGAGTGCTGACTTGCGCATACCCTGTAAGCAGCTTACTTTCTGCTCTGCTCAAAATAACATCTTAAAATATAAATTAAGAAAAACTACATAGAAAATAAGAATAGAGTGCTAAACTTAATTAAATGATAATTATCGTTAATCGTTATCGTCATCTTACCAAAAAATTAATGTGCTTAAAATGCCTTTAATTTGAAATAAAGAAATTGATTGGGAATTGGTTGCCAAATATTCGGTTCTATTCAAATTGCATTAAAAAAATAAAAGCAGGAAAATAAATAATATTTTTATTTAAGATGTAATATATAAGAAAGGTATCTAGTTTCCCAAAAAAACTAAAACTAAAAATAACAATAAATAAATCAATATATAAAAATCGATCTATTAAATAATATATTTATTTATTTGTACTTAAACATTCCTTTTTCCTTTTTTTTAATTTTATGAATCAATTATTAATATTTTAATTACGTCTAAAAGTGTACGGAAAATCCAACAACTGCTTCAACTTGGTCAATACTAAAGGGTATCCAAGAATTCCTGCCAATCGACTCCCGTTGTCCTTGTGTGTGTGTCAGTATTGGGTGGGTGGGATACGTATTCGTGGATTAGATCTGGATGACCACTGAATAATTCAATTAAATAAAATAATGAATATTTAGTAGCTTGACCGACTTATAAATCGCTTGAATCGCATAAAGCGTCCGAATGGCTCTGAATTGCTTACTTAGCCCAGCATCCCTTGACAAACCCCCCTCACTTTATTACTACCCAACCAAAATGTATCTGTATCTGTATCTGTATCTGTGTCTGTATCTGTATCTGTGTAGCTGCGTAAAAATATCTGTAGCTGTATCTATTTCTGTGTACAGTAGTTGTCCAAATATATGAATAACTTTTCAGCAGCAAATTGTTCGATTTGTGATTTTAGCAATTCATTCAATTACTCTAATATATATATATATATATATCTATCTATCTATATGTTTTTCTAGTTTGTTTAAAGACCACTTGTTGCTGGAATCGCATCAATTTTTGACAAGTTTTCATTCACTTTGTAGCTGAATAATTTTAGTCTGATTCGTGTCTTATATAATTGAATTAATATAATTAATATTCAATTAATATAATTTCAAACTGCAATTGGAAGCAATGATTTGTTATCGAGAGAGATCACTGTACTACTCACTTGCCAATTGCTGACTCTGCAACAGCAGCTGGGCCAGCAGCTGTGTATCGAAGGCGGTTGCCTGGGCGGTGTTTTGATATTCATCCTCGCTGCTGCTGCCATAGCCCATCCCCATCCCCATGCCCATGCCCAGGCCCAGGCCCAGACCGTGTCCATGTCCGTGTCCGTGACCATGCCGATGGCTGTGCCACTCGGCGGACCGTTGACGTCTCAGCTGATGTTCACCGTTATGCGCTGAGCCGGCACCGCTCGCTGCTGACCCACTCGCCGCATTCCCGTAGTAAAACTCGCTGCCAACCGCACTGCCGCTGCCGACGCGCTTACGGCCAATTGTGCCGGAATGGCTGCTGGACATATTGGAGGCCCTCCACACACACACACACACAACAACAACAAATAAGTGTCTCTCTTCTCTCTCTCTCTCTCTCTCTCTCTGTCTGAGATTTCACCTTCAATTGAACTATGCACGTAACGTTGGCCAACAAGCGACTTTTTTGCTTCGCAGCTCGGTTTTCCTTTTATTTTGTTACTTGACTTGACTTTTCATATTGTCGTCGTTGTTGTTGTTGTTGTTGCCGTTGTTGTTGTTGTTGCCGTTGCTTGTGGGCCACATGGGGCACGCCCCTCAGCTCCTTAGCCGCCCAGCGTTTTTTTTTTTTTTTGGGGGGCGCTTTAAGTGCTTAACCGAATTAACGCTGAAACGATAAAAACGACAAAGTGTCAGCATGAGTCGAGAGTATGGCTCACAACTAGAGTGGGCAGGCAGGGGGAGTGGCAAAGGGGGCGGGGGGAGGTAAGAGTCGAGAGTGCTCGACTAGCAAATATGCTGTTAATAAAATTCAATTGAGAAGCATTCACAACTTTCGGTGCACAGTGTAAAATATAATTGTAACTCGGATCCGGTTGCTGTTCCGGTTCCGGTTCCGGTAAAGTTTATAAATTGATTGCCAAACTTTATTCGCTTCAGTTATTAATTTGTATTTATTTTGAAATGCAGTTCACAAACTTTTAAATCAATAATGAAAATAAATAAATCGAAATAATTGGATTAAAAAATTATTTAAATAGTAATTAAAAATATCGAATATTTTATAATATTTAAGGCAAACTTTAAGCAAACTTCTTTCAAGAAACTGATTGCAGTTAAATATTAAAATATACACTGAGAAAAAGTCCAAATAATCCAACTTTAGTCCAGCATTTTTCATTTCCCATTTTAAAATGAAAAATCTTCAATAAAGAATTGGAAACATCTTTTATCCCACAGCAGAAGACAAAAACTTGATTCAAGTTTTGTGCTATTGAATAAAAGACTTGAGATTTTTGCGACTATAAATAATATATATAAATAATTTATAAATAATATATTAATATCGTCATCATTGCAAGTCAAAAAGTGATTGTGAATCGAAGCAAAACGATTTTTGGCCTCAAAACTTGAGCAGCTTCACTTTGAATCAATTGTTTCGATTTGAATTTAATTTCTTTTATTTCTATATTTGGTTCCGTTCTGGAACTTTATGGACTGGTAATCTTAGTCTTAATCTCTCCTGCAACTGCTATTGATATTGAATCGGTTACTTTTTGAACTTGAAATAAGACAAATGATCTTAAATTTGGCACAGAAGAACTTACTTATTCAAAAGATAGGATAAATATCGAGTAGCAGAAATATGTATGCCGTTGCATGCCCAGCCTGATAATACCCTATTTAAGCATTTCTGATGGGTAAAGGACATAACACAAAGAGAGGCTGAGGCTGAGGCAGAGGCAGATGCTGAGGCAGGGGATGAGGCTGAGGCAGTGGCTGAGGCTGGGGCAGATGCTCAGGCAGTTGCTGAGGCAGAGGCAGAGGCTGAGGCTGAGATAAAACCATAAATGCAGGAAAATGAAAATAAATAGCAGCCGGCTACAGGCATCATCTACTTGACTCCGACTACTTGCCACACGCCCAGCCACAACCACAGGAAGCGGCAGACTGGCTTTGAACTGGAGCTGGCACTGACTCCAGGTCGTCTTTTAGAGGTTGTAACGTCAAGTGAACTTAATAGCAATTGCATTAAATGGAAGCTGGGGCTCTTAAACGTTGCCTGTTATTAGTCGCTTTTTGTTGCGGCCAACAGCCGACTCCAGAGAGGCCAGAGAGAGAGAGACCAGAGAGCGGAGACACAATGCTTGCCTCGTTTTTATGAGGCATGCAAGGAGTTTGTGTTTTTTTTTTTTGACCAGCCGGACGAGTCGAGTGGCAGCTGGGGAGCCCGACACTTTTGGCTTTTTGATTTGATGAGTGCGCATTTTAATGCACTCAAAAGGCAAACGCAAGTGGCACCATTACTTGCAGCGCTAACCCAGCATAACTGACTCGGGCCACTCGGGATTCGGGGATTCGGGATTTGGGGATTCGGGGATTTGGGACGTGGGAATTGGGATTTGGGATTTGGGGTCTGCTCTCAAGCGTTTTCATTTATCTAATCGCATCGGGCTTTTTTCTGGAGCAACTCAACTGTCAAGCGTCAACTGTCAACTGTCAACTGTCTCATTGGCTGCATTCACCCTCCCACTCTCTCCCTCCTTATGAGCAAAAAAGGATTTGTTTACGTCACAGCCATAGTCCTGTCCAATATATATATATATATGCAGCCGTAAATAGAACGAATATCGTTGCACTCTTTCTGCACTCGCTTATTTTTCCACCTTACAAATCTCGTTCGCATGGCTTACTCGGATTCAATCGCAGCCAACTCTGAATGAGGTATTCAAATATGATTTATTTTTAGAAATTGCATCACTTTTTTGTTGTGAAATCATGCTGAAAATCGGCCACTTTCTTGACAAAGTTTGACTACCTTCTGCATTCATATTTTGGCATATTTTCGAGTCAGAATCACAGATTCAACTTTACTTGCAATGTTTATCCGAAAAGTCTTGGTTTTTGAACAATTTTATTAGTTATGATTTGGGAAAGTTTTTTGAGCAGCTAAACTTTTGGCGTTTTGTTTCGGAAATTTCCAAATATTTGTAAACATTTTCAACAAATCAATTTTTGATTGTTTGACGACTGTTTCTGGACTTAAGAACGTCGCTATAAAATTAGAATAATATCATATAATATATAATAAAATCTGATATTAAACTGAACCAAATGCCTTGCCGATTCACAGGGTATGCAAATAATTGTCAAGACTTTCCACATCTCAATAAAACAAGTTTCACGAGTTTGGAACAACTCTGAGACATTAAACTGAACCACATTCAGTTCCTGTACACTATATATAGGCCATATACTGAATATAATCTATCTGTCTTTCTCTCTCCCTCTCTCTTTCTCTTTCTCTCTCTGTATTTGTGTGTCTGTTTGCTGCTCTCATAAATGTCTATGCAACTGTTGCATCCATTTGCCATTTGACACGACACAGTTCACCTGTCACATCTCGACGAGCCTCAACATGAATGCCACCTGCCTCTCCCTCTCTCTCTCTCTCTCTCTCTCTCTCTCTCTCTCTCTCCTTGCAGGAGCAACCATTCGAAAGAGTGGCCATAAACATACCTCAAGCATGGCAAGGATGATGCCAGGATGCAGAGTTCACCGCACACAGGCGACACATCTGACACGGAGAACTGGTCACTGATTGCCCTTTCAATGGATTAAGATGCGATTGTGAAGCATCCTTGCTCCATACACATCCACTCATCTCTATATATATATATAATCAGGATTTGCTAGAAGTTAAGTGTAATTATCAATGTAAAGCGGTATTTATCTCAAGGTAAAATCACAATAATTAAAGCACCTTGGCTATTGAATGAATATTTAATATAAATCGTCCTTCGGTTATTGTAATGCAGTCCTTAACCAATGTCGAGAATTCAAATGTTTATTTCTTTATTTCAGCACAAACTAGGACAAAGTTGAAAAGTGCTTCTGATTTGATAATGATTGTGTATGGATAACTAGATGGGGCTGTTAATTGATGCCTCGATGCTGTCAAGGCAATCAAGGACGGATCCTTCAAGTGGCAGCTGAACAAAGCACTTTTCAACCGGAAGAGTTTCATTAAAGGAGAAATCCTTGAAAAGACTTTCGGCATTAGCTGAAAGCCAATTCTGTTATCGTGCCACGGACATGTCGAGTACTCTCCGCATACATAAACAGTTACAAAATTGAATATGATTACACACACACAGACGCACACACACACACACACACACACACACACACACACACACACACACACACACACACACACACACACACACACACTCATTGAGATAGAATCACTTTAATTTTGTTGGGCCCGCAACTTAATAATGATGACTATATTTAGATTCAAGACATTGGTTTACCTATTTAAGCCCTCACCATTTGAGGACCCCTCACCCTCTCCCCCCGCTGCCTTGCCCTGCCTCCACCCCACACATTTTAAGTCAATTTCTTAACCATTTTGCTGTCGTTAATGAAACCGCGTTATTTTTAGGCAGAGTAACATGAAAATTAATTTCACTTCGGTCACAAGTCCTTAGATATATATATATATATATATATATATATATGTGTATATTATATATATATATATGTATGTATGTGTGTGTGTGTGTGTGTGTGTTTGTTATAACACTATTGTGGCTATATTTGCATTCATTAGATGTATGATAGCCGGGTTCTTGTACCCTGGCCTATCTAGCCGGGTATCACAATTTTGGCAGTTCGAACTTGAGGAGAGAGAGAGAGCGAGAGAGAAAGAGAGAGCGAGAGAGATAGAGAGATAGAGAGAGAGAGAGTTGTAGGATTGCTATGGCTTATGTCTCGTCTCTGTATCGTCCTTTGGCTGTTGCAGTAAAAGACAATTCAGTTGAATTATTCAGATTGTACTCGGAGCCGAAACAGCAATTGAAATTCTGTGATTTCTTTTATGGAACTGATATTTTATTAGTTTATTAGGAACCGTTAGCTGAGATATTTCAAAAATTGTATTATAATTTAATTAATTTTCATTTACAGCCGAAAGAGAAATTCAAATTGAATAATTTTCACTGTTGAAATTTGTTTCTTTGATTGGCTCATTTGCTGACATTTTAAATAACGTTTTATACTATTCATATCGCCAAAGATAAATAACTGATCCGATCAGAATCAGGCTATATATAGGGTATTCTAAATTCGACTAGTTGAAGCTGCTAGCGTTTTACTTGTTGTTCATTTTGTGTGCCTGTTTCAGAAAGGGTCTCGCCACAGTTGCTGTTCTCTTTCACAGGTGCACGTATCGCACTCATGCCATCTCTCTCTCTCTCTCACACAGACACACACATTCTCTCTCTCTCTCTCTTTCTTACTGTGTGTGTCAATAATTTTGTTAGCAACGAAAACATTAGAAAAGCGGGCAAAAATGCGGCACAGGAAACAATTATGGCACCCACGACGACAACAGATATTTTCATGAGTGTGTCTGTGTGTGTGTGTGTGTGTGTGTGTGTGTGTGTGTGTGTGTGTGTGGGGATATTAACAAAGGCGGTCTCTAGTATGT